ATCAGTATGCATAGAAAGTTTTACCAATGTTATAGATCTTTCCAAAGCACCAGCTTTTTTTTTATTAAGGTATCATTGATATACACTCTTACGAAGGTTTCACAAGAAAAACAATGTGGTTGCTTCATTCACCTTTATTATTGAGTCTCCCCATCCCCCATTGCAGTGACTGCCCATCAGTGTAGTAAAATGACACAGTCACTATTTGTCTTCTCTGTGAAAGGGCCAGCATTTGCTTTTGTTGATTTTGCTTACTAGATTTCTGTTTTCTGTTTTGATGTTTTTTTTTCTCTTACCTTTATTATTTTCTTCCTTTTATTTACTTGGATTTTTAATTTGCTCTTGATATTCTGGTTTCATAAGGTGGAAATTTAGATAACTGATTTTAGACCTTTTTTCTTTTCTAGTATGAACATTTAATGCCATCAATTGTTCTTCAGACACTTCTTTAGCTGTGCTTTTTAAAGCTTTCTTATTTTAATTTAGTTCAAAATATTGTCTAATTCCCCTTGTTTTTTCTTCTTTGACCTGTGGTCTATTTAGAAATGGGCTGTTTATTATCCAAATATTTGAAAATTTTCCTGGTATCATTCTGTTGCTGATATTAAGTTGAATTCTACTGTCATCAGAGAACATACCTTCTATGTTTTTAATCTTTTTATATTTATTGAAATTAGTTTTATCACCCAGAATATGGCCCATGTTTTGAGTATTTTATGAAAATTTGAAAAGAAACTTAATTCTCTGGGTTGAAGTTCCTATAAATGAAATTGAGTTGCTTTGTAGTGTTGTTTGAGTCATCTGTATCTTTAATGACTTTTGTCTGACTTTTTTATCAAGTAAAAGAGACAATAATTGAAATACTTATTCATTTGTCTATTTCTCTTATTGGCAATTTTCTGCTCACACATTTCATCTGCCCCATTCTCTCTTTTCTCCTTCTGGGACTCTGGTTTCATGCACAGTGGCCAATTTGATATTGTCTCACAGCACTTGGGATTTTTTTTTCACTGATTGTTTTTCTCTTTTTATGTTTGTATGAGTAATTTCTATTGACTTTTCTTGAAGTTCACTTAGCTTTTTTCTCTTGTGTTCTGTTTGCTGACAAGGTTGCCTAGGGAATTGTTCATCTCTGATGTGTTTTTCATGTTTAGCTTTTCCATCTGACCTTTTTTTAGAAAACTTCCAACTCTTTGCTGAAATTCCCCATCACTCATACATTTTTGTCCACCTTTTTGCACTGTATCCTTTAACATACACATTATAGCAGTTATATATAGTGTCTTTATCTGATAGTTCTAACATCTGGATATTTCTGGGTCTGGTTCTGCCCCCTATTTTATATCTCAACAGGAGGGTATTTCCTTTTTATTTTTGGTCTTGCTTCTTTGTATATGCTGTTATTTTAATCACATGTGGCACATTCTAGGTAAAAGAACAGTAGAGACCGAAATAAATAGTATATAATGTCCAGCATGGCATATGTGCTATGTAATTGGCAAGCATTAGAATGCTCTTTGACCATTCGAGGTAGATGTTATTATTCTTTCCATGTTAGAGCTGAGGAAACTGAGGGGAGACAACAGCAATATAGCAGGGGACAGTGCCAGGTTTGAATCCTGGCCACATGGCTGATCCCTTCCCTAGCTGATAGGTAGGGTCTGGTGGTGGTGGTAAGGATGGTGCTGGAGTGCTATGAGACTGGAGGCCAGGAGACCAGTCAGAACTGTGGCAGCAGGGCAGCTGTGGTGCTGAATGCTCCTGAGGGGTCATTAACTCAAACATCCAGAACCTACACAGCTTGTGTTAGCAAATACACTTAAACAGAATGGTAAGGCTCAGTACTGAGGACAAACTAGGGAGTGGTGGGGACTGTGGTGAACTGGTGCACATACCCCTTCCTAGATACATAGCCATGACTCCATTGTGGCTGACCATGCCAGCTGCAAAACCAAGACAAGTATTATCAGTTCTTAAGATGTTTTGAGAAAAGCTAGAAATCTAAACTTATATGTGAAGTGCTCTGATTTTTAAAGGTTGGCCACAGGTATAATTTTAAAAATGCTTATGCAGGACACACTGTGAGGATTAAGCAAAACATGTCTTTAAGTAGAGTCAGGCTATCAGGCTATGAGCCACAGTGAGCCCGGCTGGTGGCAGAGGGACTGCCCGGGTACAACTACAGCTGTGGACATGGAGTTTTAGCAGATGTGTTTTTGTCCAAAAGTCTAAATGACAGGCTCAAGGGCATTTTCTATTGAGACATTCATTAGGTAAACCCCTGGCTCTGGACTTTGCCAGCTAGGAGGTACACCTGTGTTTACTTTGTTATCCGTACCTGACTTGCTCCACATTTCTGTATACCTCCTACAGTCTCTTCCCAGGGTGGCTGTTAGCTCATGTATGCTCCCAAGGATGCCACTGAGAGAGGCACTGTAATGTACTGGTTAGTGGTCTGGGTTGGCCTTTTTCATCTTCCGTTTACTACCTCTGTGAGAGGGTATATTGTTCCCTCTCTGTGTACCAACCACTTATCTGTAAAATAATTTGACCTACTTCCAAGGATGGCTGTGAAAATTATAAAAGATAATAAATAAAAACGACTTGGAAAAATATCTGACATATAGTATGGGCTAAACAAATGTCAGCTACTAACATCATTTTCTTCCTGCCTCGTCCTTCCATCTGAGGCATGTACTATTTCTTCTGCAGCTTCACCCCCTGGGGAAACTCGCTTGGTACTGCCCAGGATGCCACGGCTGCATTTGTTCATTTATCCATTCAAACAGTACTTATTGAGGGCCCACTATGTGCTAGGTTCTGTTCTAGGCATTGGAGAATCATCAGCTATGAACACAATAGAGGAGCCAGCATTTAGAGTGTGCAGGACTGACAGGAATCACAAAGACAAATAAATGAGAAGTTTATTAAACAAGTAAACAATTTCCAAATGCCCACTACTATGAAGAAAAAGAAAATTGTGATATGATAGAAATGAATAGACATCTGCTTTAGACTGGGTGCTCAAGAAAGGCCACTCTGAGGAGGTGTCATTTGACCTGAGGTTTAAATGACAAGAAAATATATTTTAATTTAAAAATCTGGAAGGAGAGTGTTACAAGCTAATGGAACAGCAAGTGCAAAGGCCCTGAGGTAGGAATGAACTTGGCTTTTCCCAGGAACAGGCAAAAGGTCAAAGTGGCTGGAGCACAGAGAATAAGGGGACAAGAGGAAAGGGGTGAAGTCACCGGCTAGCCAGGGACCATGCCGCACAGACTTGATGGACCAAGGCAAAGATTTTGGCTGTATATTAAGTCCTATGTGAAGGGTCTGAAGAAAGGTAGTGATAAGACCTGGTTTACATTTCAAATCGATCACTCTTGCTGTAGCATGGAGATTGGACTGGAGGGAAATAGGAGGGAAAGCAGAAAGGCCATCAATCCCCCTATGGACCACTGTAATAGGAAGAAGTGGGGAGAATGGCTCCTTCTCAAACTCTTTTCATTCATTCATTCATTCATTCATTCATTCAATAGCTCTTTCTTGACTGTCTATTATGTGGCAGCAATGGGTGAGACACTGAGAATACACTGATATGTGATATTGTCGTGAGTTCTGTCTGCTACCATTGAACTTTCAATCAAATATCCCTCTTGGTTTCCTGGGTCCTCAAGGCTCTCTGTACACACTGTCTTTCACAACCATTAATCCTACAGTGGTTCACCAAACCACTTTCATGTGGGTTTACCATGGGGCGAGAAACCATGTAGGATTCTCCTGCCCTACAACTTCCTACCTCCCTCAGCAGAACATAAAGGATGTAAATATGAGGGTGCAGAATGGATACGAGGGTGGGGGAGAGATGGAGGCATCTGAACCTACCTGCCAGGAGTCTAGAACCTTGTTGAAGCTTGTGTACATGTTTGTGAGCCTCAGGTTCCAGGGACCCTCGACTTTCAGGAGATCATTAAGGGAATTAAAGGTCATAAAGATGACCTTTGTTTCTGTTCTATTTTCAACAGGGTCAGACTCTTTTTTTTAAGATGAGATTTTTAAGGTAGTGAAACAACATTGCCTAGTATGGAGAATAACTTTTTACATTCAATTCACAACCACAGAGTCTTGTGTGAAATTCTAGGTGTAACCACATTTATTAAATGGTAAAGAAAATGGGCAATCAAGCCTTCTTCAGACGGAACCAAGCACCTAATAGCTGTCTTTCTCTATCTGACAGTCAGAGGCCTGTGAAACAAACTCTCAAGAAAATCTGCTGGGTGGGCCAAACTCCTGTACATCTTCTTTATAGAATAGAATGTCAGTTACACTTTTCAACGGAGAGAGGGAGGTTTCAAGTTGTGAGGAGGCAATGGGAAATGGAACACCGATTTCTTAGGTTCTGTGTGTCAGGCACCTGCTCAGGTGGAGTGAGCAAAGATAGGAGAGTTCTGGCAAACGCACAAGTGGAAATCAGTTTAAACCAACTGCAAAGGTGTTTTTTTTTCGTGACAATGGGATCCATATTTCAGAATATTATTCCAAGACCTAATATGCAAAAGGGAAAAATAGAATCTGTTTTGAAAGTGAGAGGACAAGTAGGACTCAGCCTGTTGTCACCCACTCCCCTTCCCATCCGTGGCCACGCTTGGTGCCTTTGTTCATCAGAGAACCCAATTGGGACTCTATTGATGTGAATCATGATAGAAAATGAAGATTGTGTGAAGACCATTTTTCCCTTAAGTTAAATTTTATTTAGAGTATACGATATGCTGGGCACTTTGCTGACAAAATAATTTACATACACAGCATTACACTTGTGCCATGAGGTGATTAGTGTTACACCTGTTGTCAAGATGAGGAAACAGAGGTTCAGGGTGACTCGATCATGTACGTGAAGTTAAACAATTGCCAAGTGGCAAATTTGGGCTTCAGACTCAGAGCTGACACCAAAGCTTCTGTTTTCAACCAATAAACTCTACTGTCTCTCTCTCTCTCTTTGACAGGATTTTTTCAGTTCTCATCAAGAGGTGAAGCATTTCAAGGAATGTTTACAGAAAGGGGACAGGGAAGAGGAAAGGAGGAAGAAAGAGTAATGTGGAGGAGGCGGAGGCAGAGGCAGAGGTAATAGTAAGACTTGGGCTAGTGACAAAGAGGAAATTAGTGTGAAATGATAAAAAACCAAAGAACCAGCTGCTAAGAAAGGAAACTCCATGGAAAATCCAAAGAAAGGTAATGCCGTGAGGGGAGAGAGAAAGAGGCTCAGACGGAAGGTCAGTGCTCCTAGTGACCAAAATGTCTGGATTTCAGTCAGGACCAGACTCCCTAGTTTCTATTGTGATCTGATTATGTACTTATTTAAAACAGCATTAATGTTTGCCAACAAATGTCAGCACAGTGGCTGGCCCAGGACACAGGAGTCTGGAAGGTGGACCAGCCAATTGGAGCAGGGGAGTCTTTTTGGGCACCCAGTGCGCCAGGCCATGTGGTGCCTAGTCCCTGGGTGGTGGCTTTCCATGATATTAAACCATCACTTTGCCCCTGTTGACTGAAGTTTTAGCTAGGTTGCTGAGATGATTGGCTGAGTTGGGGTCCAGGGGCTGGCTGGACTGACCTAGGCGACAGCCCAGAAGCCAGGAGTCTGGCTGTAGAATTTATTGCTCTCCAAAAGAATACAGCAGGAAAAGAAACCAGTGAGAAAGCTCTCGGCTTGTTTATTATGGTGGCTGGTGTCTGCCGTTGGCTGGCTCACATGTGCAGAATCAGATGTTAACACCTGTAGTACCAACACCATGCGACAGGTCTGGGGAAGAGATGGCGTAGATCCTACTGCTCTTATTGGCTGGTAAGTGGGTGGCAGATCTAGCCGAAGCACCTGCCCCAAGTGACAAGGGGCAGATCACTTCCTAATTCTCTGTCTCTATTCAGTCTCTGAAGCATCCTGATCATGTTTGCTGGCCCTACGTACTTCCTGGGGTGAGGATTGTGGAGTCACAAAGCAGGAGTGTTGAAAAGCATCCTGAGTCTTCTGGAGAGAAAAGGAAAGAAACATTCAATGAAGATTTTCTGTATCCCAGGGAATTCACATGTCTTCACCGATCAGGTTTTTCTCGAAGTCTACAATAGGCAGTATTAGCTCCCTTTATAGGGGATACTCAAAGGTTTCTGAGATTCAGAGAGATTGTGTTGTCTGTCCAATTCTTTTCCACTCCTTTTATTTTTATTTATTTATTTATTTATTTATTTATTTATTTTATTGAGGTATCATCGATATACACTCTTAAGAAGGTTTCACATGAAAAACAATGTGGTTACTACATTCACCCATATTGTCAAGTTCCCCCCATACCCCATTGCAGTCACTGTCCATCAGTGTAGTAAGATGCCACAGAGTGACTCCTTGTCTTCTCTGTGCTGCACTGTCTTCCCTGTGACCCCTCCCACCATGTGTACCAATCATAATACCCCTCAATCCCCTTCTCCCTCCCTCCCCACCCACTCTCCCTGTGGTAACCGCTAGTCCCTTCTTGGAGTCTGTGAGTCTGCTGCTGTTTTGTTCCTTCAGTTTTGCTTCATTGTTATACTTCACAAATGAGGGAATTCATTTGTTTCTTTCTCCGCCTGGCTTATTTCACTGAGCATAATACCCTCTGGCTCCATTCATGTTGTTGCAAATGGTAGGATTTGTTTTCTTCTCATGGCTGAATAGTATTCCATTGCTTTTCCACTCCTTTTGCATCGCTTTCTCCTTTAGGAGCCCTGCATCTAGCAGTAGTCCTTTGAGATGCTTAGCCCTGACAAGAGGGCACCAGGAGAGCTGCTAAAAGGCTGGACACCAGCCTTGGCAGGGCCATGTCATGGAACAAGCATATGACATGGCTATGGGGGGCAGTCAGGAAAAGGATAACAAGGATGGGAGGGTGATTAAATGGAAAATGCATGGACAGACATTCAGATGCAAGGAAGTCACAGCTCTACTCGGTAAACAAAGATAAATAAAGCCAGAGCTTCCCTGTTAATAGCCTCCTGACTAGATCATCCCTTAGGTCCTTTTAAATCCTGATGTTTGCCTCCTTCAAAACTTGTGCACCCTTTGTCTAGTCTCTTCAGGTGCTGCTTCCTGTTGGTAGGAGTGAGTGATGGCAATGAGCTAATCAGATAAGCTAGACTTTACTGATGAGCGAATTAACTAATGGGCAACTCCTCCCATGACTTAATGCCATAATTGGGTTGAAGTAAATTTCTTCCAGACTTAACCTTGGGCATTGACAAATGGTGGGAATTCACAGTCCTGTGCTTAGTGTCCGTGCAACCACACCCTTGGGGCCCGCACCCAACACAGGGCTGGACAGGAACTGGCCTGTGACCCAGCCTCTTTTTCCTCCAACCTGTGACATCAACAGGATAGCCGGAGGCTAGTGACTGGACTGAAAACTCTGTGTTAATGTGGTGGCACCACAGCGGGGACGAGATCGGGTAGGGTGGGGGTGGTGGGAGGAGGGAGGAGGCAGGGAGGGGAAACAACATGACAGTTTTAAGTCATTTAAAAATATTTTTGTTAATCACATATTAAACTCCTAATGCAGATATAAATGCCTTTTTAAACATTAGAAAATTACATTTGTGGTAAAAGAAAGAATAGCTAGAAAGGTATACAGAGTGAATACTGATGAGCGAATTAACTAATGGGCAACTCCTCCCATGACTTAATGCCATAATTGGGTTGAAGTAAATTTCTTCCAGACTTAACCTTGGGCATTGACAAATGGTGGGAATTCACAGTCCTGTGCTTAGTGTCCGTGCAACCACACCCTTGGGGCCCGCACCCAACACAGGGCTGGACAGGAACTGGCCTGTGACCCAGCCTCTTTTTCCTCCAACCTGTGACATCAACAGGATAGCCGGAGGCTAGTGACTGGACTGAAAACTCTGTGTTAATGTGGTGGCACCACAGCGGGGACGAGATCGGGTAGGGTGGGGGTGGTGGGAGGAGGGAGGAGGCAGGGAGGGGAAACAACATGACAGTTTTAAGTCATTTAAAAATATTTTTGTTAATCACATATTAAACTCCTAATGCAGATATAAATGCCTTTTTAAACATTAGAAAATTACATTTGTGGTAAAAGAAAGAATAGCTAGAAAGGTATACAGAGTGAAGTCTCTGTGCCCTAGCTCCCTGTCATTCCCTTCTCCCAAAGGAACTAATTTCTTGTAAATATCTAAGCTAAGGAACCACCTGTGGCTGGTAGACTCTGTCCTATCCTCAGAGAAACCAAACACACCCCATCTCCTTTCCCTCCTTCTAACCCCAGAGCTACAAACCACGCCAACAGTAGGGGCTCATTCTTAGGTACTCTGTCCGCACTCTTGGCTTTCTCTCTCCATTCCAGGGGAACCCCACCTTACTCTCAACTTTTCCATTTCAGAAAATGCCTTTTTCAGATTTTTTTTTTTAATCAGTGGCTTACACTTGAGTTTAGAAAAAAACTAATGAAATAAAATGTGAGATCTGGAAGGAATTTTCCCATAATTGTGGAAGCCGAGGCCCCAGAAAAATGAATACATGTACTATCTTGGGTTTGTATAATATTTTACTGTTTACTTAAGTGCTTTCCTATTTATCTTTGTATTTGGCCCTCTTACTCGCTCCCTGTATGGAAATGAGTGGGCAGTATTATTGCCACTGTCTAGGTGAGGACACTGGGGTTTCCAGAGGCTGATTATTCCAAGAGCTGGGGCACTCCTTGTCCTAAGGGGGTGGACAAGGCATGTGTTACACCTCAGTGGCATCACCATCCTTGTGGAGGGATGTCAGGTGTGGTGAGGAAAGGGTGGAGAGGTAAGGTAATTCCTCAAATTGCAATACTTGGGAGGCTGGCTGTGTTGCATAAATGGAGAGCAGCTCTGGCTCATGTACTCCGCTTTCCAAGTGTAATTTGGTTCCTGGCCCTGGGTTTCCATGGAGTTGCACCATGACCGCCTGAAGGGGAGCAGTAGGTGGAACTCTGGGCACTCAGCCAGAATCGCCCTCCCAGACTTGGGTAGGTTGGAAGCTGGACTGCTGCTTCCTGGTGCCTGTGCCTGACATGTGGGCCAGCTTCTCTCCCATCATGCTTTCCTTTGTCCTTCCCTTACTTACTTCTGTGTCCTGGAAGGGGAAACGTGTTCCCTAGCTTTCCCTCCTTTCCCTCCACTGGGGACTGAGTAAAATGGCAAGAAAGTCAGAATTGATTGAGGTCGCTCAGTGAGTCAGGTGCTGTGCTCCTGCCATCTATACAGAGACCAAAGGGACCTGGCCCCGGCTCTTGAGATCTGCACAGCTTAGTGGGGTGGCTGCTCCCACACAGAACAACGTACATGAGCTGGGCATTGCATCTGGCTTCAGGTAAGAGAGAAACAATGCAACAGAGGTTTAAACAAGAGTCTTTTTTCTTCCAAATTCCTTGAAAGCTGGGCGGCCCAGGGCGATCTGGTAGTTCTGAGATGTTACCAGGATCCCAGGTTCATTCTTTCCTTCTGCTCCACTATTTTTTTGTAGGATTGCTTCGTGGTCGAAAATGGCTGTTGGTGATCCAGACTTCATATTGCAAGCAAGAAGAAGGATAAAGGGGAAGATGCAAATGGGTTCGTGTAGCTGAGTATGCCCCCTTTGGATCATTTTCCTGGAAGCCCCACAATAAGCTATCGGCCAGTGCTTCATTGGCTACCCTGTCTGTAAAGGTGGCTGGGAGATATTTTGCTTGTTTAGCCTTTTTCAAAAACTGGACACATTTTTATTTCCAACAGTACAGTCTTTGAAAGAGGAGGGGAAGGGGTCTTGCATAGATAACCAGCAGCCTCAACTAATCTGGGTGATTTTAGTGCATGGTGGTACACTCTATACGCTCTGCTGAATGTGTAGTTTAGCTCAATAATCGAACCTCTCCGTGCCTCAGTTTCCTCACATTCAAAATGGACGTAATCACACCACCTACCTTGAAGTGACTAAATCTTATATGCTGTTGGGAAATTTCAATGAGAAAGTGTGTGGTGCCGGCATAGACCTCTGGGAGGTATCCTGTCAGTGCCCAGCAGATGTTAGCTGTGATGGTGAGCACGGCAGATGGTGGTGATCCAGATCCTAAAATCGGACTGCCTGCGTTGGTGTCCCCCTCCAGCACATGCCACTCACCTGTGGGCACATTGCTGTGATTTACTATCTTCAGTGGTAAAATAAAATGATAGAATCCACCTCTTTGAATTACTTTCAGATTGAGATGACCCATGTGGAGTGCTTGACAGAGTGTGTGGCATATCAAAGGCACTCAAAGATTATTATTCATTATGATCATGGAAGCACAGAGAAGGTGCCTACAACCAGGCTCAGGGGGACTCAGCAGGCAAGGCTGCCTGGGCCAGTGGTATGGGGTCTGTGTTTTGGCAGGTGTGAGGGGCAGTGAGTCAGGGGGTGGTGAGGAAGGTGGGAGGTGTCCCCAGTTGTGTGAGCAGCGTGGAGTTGTGAAAGCTCACGGTGTGCTCTCGGAGCTATGAATGCTCCAGTGTGTCTGGGCTGCATGGTCCAGGTAGAGAGTGGGACACACTGAGAGGAAGGCTGGGTGCAGGCTCAGAGGGCCTGTAGCTGTGATGAGGAGCCGTGAGCCCTGGGGCGCCAGGCCTGCTGCCTGATCTCCTGGGGCTGGTTTCTGAACGTGGACGAGATCATCTTCATAGACAGGGAATCAGCTGACTGGGACAGTGTGCGGTTTGTTGGCATCTGCAAATTGCCACCTGTTAACCAAAGGCCCGAGACTCAATCTGGCCAGGTTCCTCTGCAATAGGGCCTTAATCAACGCATGACTTCTGTTTTGGCAGAGAAGGAAATGCTGATAGCTGGAGGTGAACTTGTGTTGAAGTGCTCCCAAGAGTATGAAGACAAGTTGACTCTAGATTCCCAGCAGGACTTTGATACCCATGAACTGATGAGAACAGATTTGCTTATCAGATTCCCCTAGAAATTAATTTATTGGCTGGAGAGGTAAATTCTGAGGTGGGAGGAGGAGGTGCTGAAGATACCATGGGTATTGTAGTTAAGGGACCACAGGGGAAGCAAAGGGGCAGCTGGCTCCTCAGCCAGGAGGGTGAGCAGAAAGAGCACTTGACATGAGTCCAGAGTCACACGGCCAGTCTTACCTTCACCCTAGGTCCCCA